GAGAAGATTTGGCTGTAGGGCAATACTGAAATAGAGATCTATCGACAAAGACTACTCACTTCTGCCTAGCTTAATAGTATTTGGTAAGAATGCTCTCTCTGGTTATTTCAGTTTCCGTTTTTAAAAGTGCTATATGTTGAGCCACCTCAGCTAGATTTGGCATGTAACATTTTTAACTGCAATCATTGGTCGATTTTCTAGCGTTGTCATTCGGGGAGTTGCAATGAGGCTTTTTTTTGTCGCTGTGTAAGAGAAATATATATATATAGATACTAAAAAAAAGTTATTGTTGGAAAATAAATTTTAGAAATTAGTTGCAATTTAGTTATATTTCTCTGTATACACACGAAGGTCTATATTCTGCCTAAATATTAACCTATAATCTCCAAACTTGGTCACATTTACATAACTACACTATACCTGCATACTGTTAAATCCAAAGATGAGCTCTCGTTTAAAACAATAATAAAAATTAATTTTGATACATTAGGTTTACATCCGCTTTTAATGAATTCTTAAATCAATCTGTATTACATTTACATTATAAGACGCCATCTAGTGGCACTGAATTACATTTTCATAATAAAACGCCATCTAGTGTGTGATAATTTTATCAAATTCTACAACTTGATCACGTTTATAACTGCACTATACCTACATCCTGTTAAATCCAAAGATGAGCTCTCGTTTAAAACAATAACAAAAATTTATTTGGGTACATTAGGCTTACATCTTCTTTTATTGAATTCTTAAATAAATCTATATTACATTTACATTATAAGACGCCATCTAGTGGCTCTGAATTACATATTTATAATAAGGTACCATCTGGTGTGTAATAATTTTATCAGATTCTACACATACTACACTAAGCCGTAAATTTATAAATGAATTACAGGACACACAATGAGTACCAATAGTAATCTCAATATTTCTCTTTAAAATAAAAGAGTCGGGACTTTAAAAAATTTCATAGGATTTCTGGTGTTCTCTGTTTAAATATGAAGGCTTATATTTTCCCTATAATTTTTAAACTTTGGTCACTGTTATCATTTCAATATGATACATCACGGCAAGCTGCAAATATTAGACGAATTAGGAGATGGCACTAGGGGCCCTAAATTTAACGTCAGCACTCTTTAGAATTTTCCAGATTTTCAGATAAAGTTCTGCACATATATGTTTAGACGTGATAGATCTTGACCAATCACGGCCAGGAAATTGTTTTAAATTGACAGCTAAATTTTTGATAAACATGCATGCTTAGAGTTATTCATATCGACTAGAAAATGTTTTAAATATTTTTTATTACAGTTAAAACTTTAAAACTGATTTTATAAAGCTGAAATGGAAATGCTGCAAAGTGTAATTTCAAATTTGAAATAGCGAAGAATGTTATTTGCTCCTACACTGAATATTAAAAAAAAATCTCTCCTAAAACAGGCGTGCAAGTTGAAAGGCGTGCTAATTAAAATTACGTATTTTTTTACTGTTCAGTAGCATACAGTGTGCATGTTTCATCATTGCATGCATTGCTATGGCGACCGCTGTTGTTTATTAATTTGAAAACGATATTTTTTTTAGAATGGGAAACCTGCAAGTGACGTAGTGTGGGTATCTCGATCCTGATTGGTAGTTGAAACGTGGCATTTTTCTACGTTAGCAACTGTTCTTTCCATAATATTTCGAGTAAGCCAAGCCTGTCAAATATTAATTCTCTTAAGTGACACGTTCAAAATTCTTTCACAAATATTCTTTCTCAAAGATTTCAATTCTTTCACTATATATTTGCAAAGAGACTTAACACAAAGACAGACAGATTCCGCGTAGAACATAAACTAATTATGCATCGAAGTTGTCAGGTATACAAAACAAAAATACATCACGGTAACAATGAAATGCATAAACAAATAATAAATCTATGTTAAGTAAAAGACGTAAATGAGAAAGAATTATATTTCAATGATGTGCGATACGTCTCTGCATTCAATTAACCTATCGTTAATTATAATTCTAACTTATGTAGAGAAACTCAGCTTTACTCTAATACTCCACATTTCTAATAAAAATTAGTGACGTCATAGGTTGTCTTCTTCTTCTATAAGTGAAATTACCCAATTCTTTTTTTAATTAAGTTTACTATTCATCGAGATTTGATGAATTTATTCCTGAAAAATGTGATCTGAGAGATCCTACGAAATACTTCTAGAGATATGAATAAAGAGAATTCATCCCTTGAGCTATGTTCTTATTTGCTTTGTTTATTTATTAATCAGAAATATAATCTACAGTTTATTAACAATAATTATTAAATGAGGATTTTTAAAGCTATTTACTTAAAACTTTATTTCTAGCTTTAAATTAATATCATTTTAATTTTACTTGCTCTTTCGCAACATAACACTAACTGATAAGTATTATTATACACCGAAGAGCCATTAAATTATGACCACCCTCCATCTATAACAATGGACTCGCCCAGGTTTTCCTGGTTTCTCGCCCAGGAACAATGTTTTCATGGGGCACATTAGGACCCATAATCCTCATAGAACAATCCCTGACATCTGTAAGCTACTTGAACGTAGTTGCAGACCAGGTTTACCCATTCTTGGCAAGAGTTTTTCGTGCGGGGGATGGTGTTTACCAAATAATGCACCATGTCATTAGGGTCGAATCGTCATGCATTGGTTCGAGGAACATTCCAGTGACTTTCAAGTCATGTCTTGGCCCCCAAATTCACCTGACCTTAATCCAATAGAGCATTTGTGGTCCTGCTTGGAAAACCAAATTCGTGCTGCCACGCTACCCCTTCGCAATGTGAGGGAATTACAGGACCAGTAGGTGAGCGCTAGGTACCAGAAACCTCAGACTACCTATCAGCACCTTGTGGAATTAATGCCACGGCGGGTGCTAGCAGTTTTGAGGGCTAAAGGTGATCGTACATGCTATTAGCAGGGTGGTCATAATGCAAAGGCTCTTCGGTGTATAAGTATTATGAAGATACACATTCAAGTTTTAGTGAAAAAAAGTCGGGATATGATCAGAAAAATGATTAGGTAAGCATTTGGGCAAATTTGTAAAAGTTCATATTTGTCCTTCTGTTCCTTACCAAATGCTTTTTTAAGCAGAATAAAGTTAAAAATAATCTGAATTTTTAAGATTTTTGGCGTCTTTGACGTCCATAATAATAAAAAAGTAATTCAAATAATATTGAAAAGTTCAAATTTAGTATGGAAGTAGTTCAGGAGATAGAGCATTCATCTCACAATGAGGTGATCCCAGGTTCGAATCTTAGTGCTGGCTGGTTGGTACAAATTATGCTTTCGATTGTCTCTGACCACAATGCAGACGTGAAATATCCTCAGTGGTAGACGGATCATGGGTTAGAATCCAGTTGCCATCAGGTTAACCATGAGAGGTTTTCGTTGTTTTCCTCTCCATTTAACGCAAATGCTGGATAGTTCCATCAAACAATCCTCCAAGAAGGTTAGTTTGTCCTAATGCTCTATCCAGAAGTTTATTTGTCTTCTTGGTTGTGTTCAAAATTACAAGGCTACGAAGTTAAATATTATAGTCGTAAACTCAGATTTGGTTCAACCGTTCAACACCGGTTATAACATAAAATTTAGTATAGGACAACTAAAGCGTAACTTGTCCTAATTTTGAAAGAAGGAATAGGAACATTTCCACCTACTCTTTGAAATGTTGCCAGCAACATTAGAAATTGCGCAAGCATATTTTAAAGAAACTAAAAACTTTAAAATTTTTTAAACAAAAAGGTTTCGGTTAAAATGCATTATTGAAGCGCATTAATCTAAGTGTAAAGGAAGCAATAAATTTCTTCGCTGAGCAAACAACGGGGGCGTCAAGCCAACCGGAAATTAAACCTTTATTTTGCAACAATAAACTTTTAACAGAAAATTACTTCCGCTGTCAGTCGTTTGATTGTATTGTCTTTTTTGAATTTGTCTATTTGATAATAGGAGAAAATGGATAGCGTTCGACTTTGAAATGTCGTTAGAATAATCGAAGAAATATGTTCTGAGTGTTAGAAATCAGGTAATTTTTTTTTATTCTTTAAGATTATTATTTGTAAATTTCATGATCAGTATGAAGTGATTGTTACTGTGCTGTAATCATTAGAATTAATGCTGCGCGAAGTGGGGGAAAAAATCAAATAGTACTAGTAATACAGACTCAGATTTATTTCTCAGTCTGGTGTGTTAACACATATTTGCTTTTTCCAAAAGATTATTTCTGCTGATTTTTATTTGTTTAACAATCTGATTCTTTAAAAATTGTGTTTTAAAATTATTTTGATCAATTCCTTACATTAGTTATTTCAATGTACAGTCGGACCTCGTTTAAGTCGCGTTAAAGTTTCGTTCCTAAATTTCTTTTAGCGAGAACTAATTTTTGATTTTCCGTCTGTATGCAGATATAATACTTTAAAGTCCTTTTAACGTGAACACGCTAAACGTGGAATATCTTTTAAGGTTAATTCGAATTTTATTACCTTTTGAAAAAAGTTTTACATTTAATCTGAACAAAAAATTTATCTCTCCTTTAACAGGTAAGTAAATTAATCATTTACAATTCTATATTTATAAAAAGTGGTTCTTTAAATGCTTTGTAATAGAGTTGGTAATTATTATAGCTGTTAAATGTTGTTGTTGTCGTGGGCCATTAAGGCAAGGGGTGCGATTGTTCTTGCTTTACAGTGGTGCCATCTATGGCCGAGAATTCGACTTCTGCCACACCCGTTTATAGGGCGAACCTATTTATACATCTATTGATTCATCCGCAGATCATAATTTTAACCAGAACTAGAGAACGATCAATTTCTAATTCAGTACCCCCAGAGGTATACTTTATTATGGAAACATGAAGAACTTTGTGACCCGACAGATTTATCGTGCACCAGTCACCATTTACTACACGGGTCGACTGGATTCGAACTCCCGTTCTCACGAACGGGAGTTCGAATCCAGCGTCGAGCGATAGTCAGAGGTTTTTTTTTCATGGGGATGTCTCATGAGTATGAAGATAAAGAAGCATGTTTTCCTGCAAAATGACTACCCATATTGATCCTTTGCTCAACATGGGTAGTCATTTCTCACACACTGTTCAGAGAAATTGATATTGCTGAATTGCATTGCAAATTTTATTGCAATTCAGCAGCATCAAAATTCAAATTTTATTAATTGAAAAATTATTGCTGAATTGCAAATTTTTTAAAATTATTTTTCGGATACAGTTGATAAGTTAGAAGACTTTGGAAAGCATGTGCGAATAAATATTCAAACAGCGAGCTATTACAGATTATTTCCTCAGTAATCCTCTCTAAATTGTGGAATAAGTCAGTCTACTCATATTAATTAGTTATTTTCCGCATTTTTTCATTTGTATTTAATGAAATTAAAAAGAAAAATAGAGCACTGAAAATAAGTACACTTTTTGAATTTCGTCTGAACTATAATTTTTTTGTTCCTTTATAACTTAATTTTTTAAGGTAATTGGTTGTACTTACAATGAGATGCATGGAAGTTATTAATTTAATATAACGTGCAACATAAAAAACATTTATTGAAATGAAATATATATCAGTTTACGTATTCATAATAGAAATTTAAGATTAGAAAACGCAAATAGATAGCAAATATTCTCAGCCAAAGGTCTCCACTTTTTACACCAATTCGTTACACCATATTTTCAGATATATTCTTCATAAGCCTCTGGATGCTCCAAAGAAACATCTCGCTGCATGCATAGAAAGCATGTTTTTGTTTCTTTTTTTTCTTCTTTTTTATCAAAAAAGCTTTTGAACAATATATTATTTTAAATATATTGCTTCAAACAATTCGGTTCGAGATTGTTCTTTTTTTAACAAAAAAAATGTGAAAATAATGTTATTAGTGCTAAGAAAATAGCAAAGAACCCCTTAACTCACAGATTTTTTGAAAAAAAGTCGATCAAAGAAAATAAAAAAAATTCTAATTTAAAACACACATTTTAGAACATTGTCTTTTTTTTTTGGTGAGCAATTTTGATATACTGCGCATTTATTCCATGGAAAATGGCTATATTCACAGATGCCAACTGCTCTGGACACGACAAAGTAATTAAATGAAACGGTAAATAACTACTAGAAATATTTTGCAGGTATAAAGTGGTGAATTATCTAAATCTACGAATTATTTAGAAATAGTGGTGTATGAAAATCTACTAAATTGAATTTATTAAACCAAGAATCACAATTGATAAACTACCACTTTAAAATATATATTTGCCGTCCGGAGCTAGTTCGAATCTCTGTATATTTTATTCTTGAATTAATAAGTGCTATAGCTTACAATCCTATGTAAATGATAAATATCAATAAAGCGATTTTTTTTCTTAGTTTTCACATTGTTATTTTCAATTCTCGATCATTATCGAGTGTGAAAAATTATAGCAGCATAAAATACAACGCCGCTCGAATTATCTCGANCAATTGATAAACTATCACTTTAAAATATATATTTGCCGTCCGGAGCTAGTTCGCATCTCTGTATATTTTATTCTTGAATTAATAAGTGTTATAGCTTACAATCCTATGTAAATGATAAATATCAATAAAGCGATTTTTTTTCTTAGTTTGCACATTGTTATTTTCAATTCTCGATCATTATCGAGTGTGAAAAATTATAGCAGCATAAAATACAACGCCGCTCGAATTATCTCGAGTGTGCACAGTTTGGCCTGTTTAGCACGCTCGATTTAACTCGAGAGCACAAGTTAAAGGGTTAATTAACAATTTTAGTTGAATTTTATTATAATGAAAAAGTGGCATATTAAAAAACTAACTTAGGATTACTATTAATATAATTTAGTATTTAATGACATTTTTTTACAGATTAAAAAAAATAATAGTGCTATGGATGCCATTTTGTACAGCAAGTACCAGGGCTCTCACCAAAGAGACGCTACGGAATTTTTTAACTCGAGTGCTGGTCTTTTGGACTGGTATGATTTATCCAAAGATACCATTATGGATATAGGATGTGGACCAGGCAGCACGTCATGCAAGTGGATTTTAACCCTGTTTCCGGAAATCACGAAGGTTATCGCAATCGATAGTTCCCACACCATGATAAAGTTGGCAAAAGTTCTGAATCCTAATCCAAAAATTGACTATTACGTGGCAGATATCTTGAATAAGTATGTGATTTTTGCTTTTTTAGTAAATCTCGTGTCTTATGTATTATTTAGCAATCGGCTATGGTTGCTTCTCATTTATTGTTGACAAGGGTTCTAAAGATATGTATGAAGGGGGTAGAAACACAGTGCTTTGCAACTACCCTCTTAATACACTGGTGGAAGAAATTAAGAGAATTTGCAGACTTGGTCGATTATCTCTAGAACTACTGGACCGATTTCAATGAAATTTGATATGTACGCACATTGATTCAATACAAAACAAATAACCATCCAACAATTGTAATACACTCGCAAGATCGTGCGTAACACTCATTGGAGTAGGAAGATATGAAACAGCGGTTGTGGAATAAACAAAAAAAAAGGGTTAATAGGGGGTGTGGGGAATGAGTTGTTATCGACTATGTCAACCGTCATCTATGAAAAGGTACCCCAACATAGAGTCGAGTTAACATGTCTTATATACTAGTGAATTGTAGTTGTAATTTTGTAGTGGTAGATACGCTACAGTACTCCCCCACCAGAATTATAGCTGTGTTAGAATTCGATGAACGAATACCACTAGTTGATTCATTGCTGTTTTGTGCGAAGCCGGGAGAGCTGTATTAAGATCACCGTATTTTTTNAACCCTGTTTCCGGAAATCACGAAGGTTATCGCAATCGATAGTTCCCACACCATGATAAAGTTGGCAAAAGTTCTGAATCCTAATCCAAAAATTGACTATTACGTGGCAGATATCTTGAATAAGTATGTGATTTTTGCTTTTTTAGTAAATCTCGCGTCTTATGTATTATTTAGGAATCGGCTATGGTTGCTTCTCATTTATTGTTGACAAGGGTTCTAAAAATATGTATGAAGGGGGTAGAAACACAGTGTTTTGCAACTACCCTCTTAATACACAGGTGGAAGAAATTAAGAGAATTTGCAGACTTGGTCGATTATCTCTAGAACTACTAGACCGATTTTAATGAAATTTGATATGTACCTACATTGATACAATGCAAAACAAATAACCATTCAACAATTGTAATACACTCGCAAGATCGTGCGTAACACTCGTTGGAGTAGGAAGATATGAAACAGCAGTTGTGGAATAAACAACAAAAAAAATGGTTAATAGGAGGTGTGGGGAATGAGTTGTTATCGACTATGTCAACCGTCATCTATGAAAAGGTACCCCAACATAGAGTCGAGTTAACATGTCTTATATACTAGTGAATTGTAGTTGTAATTTTGTAGTGGTAGATACGCTTCAGGGGGTATGGTCCCCTTTCACAAATACGCAGGCCTTGCAGCGTGACTTCATACTTGAAATAAGGCAGTTTATCATTTCCTTTTGAAATTTGCCTTCGAGGAGGACTTTTTGATGGAACTAACCAGCATTTGTGTTACACGGACATTATTCTACATTACATGAACATTATTGTTTATTACATGGGGAGGTCGACCACAAGATTCTCCCACGGTTAGCCTGACGGCGAAAGGACTCTAACCCATGATCCGTTACCACTGAGGATATTTTACGTCAGCACTGTGGTCGGTGGGCGCAGGGTGCGGAATTCAAATCAACTAGCCATCGTTGGAATTCAAATCCGGTTCACCTCATTGGGAGGTGAGCGCTCTATCCCATGAGTCACAACGGCTCTAAAAAATTGTAATGTTTATAGGAATTACATACATTAGCAGACCTGTGTGTTCTATTTACGATTATAAGCCAAAATTTTACTCCCACTTAAAAGTTTAAATAACTCCCTTGCGAAAAGTTGGAAAAGTTTTTCAGATCTGTATTTGCCTGTAAACTAAGTAAAAACTGGAATATGTCGTTTAAAAAAAATATGCATAATTACTAGTTTATTGTTTCAGATCTAGCCTTGAAATGTGGGAAGGAAAAATAAGCAAAATTTTATCAACCAACTGCTGCCAATATTTAAGTGACCAAAAGGGATTCTTTCGGAATGCCTTTGACCTACTGGAACCAGGAGGGGAAGCAGCATTTCTTTTTGAATTGACCTCCTCCTATTTCGATTGCTATGGAGATATTGCAGATTCCAGATGGAATGAATATGCTAAAGTACGACATATTATGTAAGAATATTTTATTGTGAATATCAACTTAACATACAACGCGATTGCATTCACAACAAGAAGCGCCGATTAGGAAAAAAAATCTATGCTTATTTGTCACTTGAAAATTAATAGCAATTATTTATGTGTGTATTAGTTATTGTCACTGGACAATTGGTAGCAACTAGTTATGACGAGCCTCAGTGGGTTAAGTTAGAAAATGGGATATTTAATTGTCAGTTGGCAATTAATAGCAATAAGTTACATCGAGCCCTGGTGGGTTAGGTCAGGAGATAAGATGTTTATTTGTCACTTGACAGTTACTAGCAATTAGTCATGCCGAACTTCAGTGTGTAAGGTCAGATAGGATGTTTATTCGTCACTTGACAATTAGTAGCAATTAGTTACGTCGATCTTCAGTGTTTTTGGTCAGGAGATAGGATGTTTATTCGTCGCTTGACAATTAGTAGCAATTAGTTATGTCGATCTTCAGTGTTTTAGGTCAGGGGATAGGATGCTTATTCGTCGCTTGACAATTAGTAGCAATTAGTTATGTCGATCTTCAGTGTGTTAGGTCAGGGGATAGGATGTTTATTCGTCGCTTGACAATTAGTAGCAATTAGTTATGTCGATCTTCAGTGTTTTAGGTCGGGGGATAGGATGTTTATTCGTCGCTTGACAATTCGTAGCAATTAGTTATGTAGAGCATCGGTGAGTTAGGTCAGGAGATAAGATGTTTAGTTGTCACTTGACAATTGATAGCAACTTGTTATATCGAGCCTCAGTAAAATAAGCCCATTCATTGCTGGTTTGTTTTTGTGCAACATTTCCTAGTAATGTAAAAAAACGTATTTTTTGAAAAAATAGCTGAATAGCTTATGTTAAATTTATAATTTTTTTAGAGACCATTCCTTTTGCTTCGAAATAACAGAAGTGCAAAATTTTAGATCAAAATATTGCTAATTATATTTTAATAAAAACGAGCACATTGGTTTCACAAAAATATTTATAATATGAAATAAATGAAGTACCAGTTTTGATTATTTAGAGATATTTCTAAGATATATAACGCATAAATTTAATTTCATGAGGGTTATACTAAGGCCTCAAATTCCCAGTTCTATAACAATGAACGAACGATTATCTTTCACTGTGTGTATATTATCCCCTGTTTTTTTCCAGTCTAAAACAACTCTTGTTCATATACTGTAATGTTGTCTTGATCATGTGTTAAATAAGTTATAGCTAAAAGTATGGTTGGTATTTATATATGAAGCTCCTTGCAAACAAATTTTAATTTTTTTTGATTAAATTTTACTCAAATACATTGTTTATAGGCATTTAAATAAACTTAAATGGTTGTGGTAATCCTATACAAAAATAAAAAGTAACTAGACATTAAATTTTCATTTTTTCACCAAACATTTCTTGAAAAAGCACGACCAATTATGCTTGCTCAATTATTAAATTAAGATAATGAGTTATTAAAATGCATTTATAATTAAACAAGACACATTTACATTATAATTAAACAAGTATCTGAAATTTTTTTAATAACAATTAAAAAAAGTTGTGTGTAAGAAACTTTTAGAAGTTGCGAAAACATTGAAAAATTCCATTACGAGAAAAAACAGCTTTGTCAACTAAAACTACGTATTGATATATGGACATTTAAAAATTTATAATCTTATAACTCGGTAAGAAAAACTCGAATTTAAACACGGTTTGTTGCCTATTACTAAGTAAAGTATAAATTTTTTTAATATTTTAAAAACCAAATAATGGATTTTTTAAAGATTTTTCTCATTCTGAATGTCCAGTTTCCCAAACTTATGACATTTGTGTACCCTTTCTAAATTTTTTCGTAACACTGTGCACCACTAATAAAAAATGCATTTTTCACCTAAAAAAATTGCACAAAACTAAAAATTCACAAATGGCTGTTGACACCACTATTTATTAATTGTTACCTCTGCAAAAAATAGCCAATAGAAAAATACATAAAATCGTGAATTTTCACTGCTAGCATTGTGTTTAAATAAAATATTTGTGAAATTTTCCTTTGTTGCAAGATATTTCGCATAAGAACGCGTACCCCCGCTAAACTGTCTCCGTATCCCTCCTCCTGACTCCGTATGGAGAAAAATATAGGAATAAAAATTTTAATATATTTTATAAAAATTTAATTTATATAAATATCTAAAACTCTTCTCGAAACTATTATCCTCATGTTCAATAAGGTATGGAGATAACAAGAATCCCAAAACCATCAGCATTAGAACCATGTTGTTTTTTACAAATCAAAGATCAGAGTACTAGCTGTTAGGTCATGTATTCCGAACTCCAATTAAACCTTTACCTGGCACGTCTCTAATGCAAATTTTGCGATGTCTTGTATCTCTTTTGGATAACAATATAGTTAATCTAAAGATTTTTCTTCTTAGAAAGAAAAATAGGGGTCTATTGAAAATGACCGATGAAAAAATGAAATTTTTCTTCATTACTAAGAAAATTTAAAGTTGAAGTGAATTTTTTATAGAAATAAAGATACCCTGAACAAGCACGGGTCTTATTATTTTCTTTTTTTAGATTTTTCTAGAAACGAATGTTTTAACTTTAATTAAGTTACGGAGAGAGCCAGAATCCCAAAATAGGCCGCACTAGAGCCATGTTGTTTTTTACAAATCTCAGATCAGCATACTAGCTGTTAGGCCATGTATTCCGAACTTCAGTTAAACCTTTACCTGGCACGTCTCCAGCACAAATTTTGCGATATCTGGACATTCTTCCAAATTTAAATATAATTTAAACAAAAAAACTCTTGATTGCTGCAAAAAGGGGAAGTCGTGTGCTTAATATAATTTAATAAAAAAAATCAAACTACATTTAAAGCAAATACTGAACTTTTAGGGGAAAAACTAAGTATGCAAATAAATATTAGATCATCAAAAAGACTTTAGTTATTTACAAATTATTGTTTGAAAAATATTCTCCGACAATGATCATCAGTCAAAAAAATGATAACTTTTTCAATTAGAAATTAAGAATGCAATGAAACTTAGCTTTTTTTAAGTAGCCTATAGTTCTTTAGACACCCACTTTCTCCATATTCATTGAAAAATGCTATTTTAGACTTGCACTACTTTTGTGTGAATTCAGGCATTCGCTCGCCAGGCGTTGCTTTAAAGCGAAAAGTGAAAATTTTAATGCATTAAATTTTTGAATTTAAATCTAAAAAATAAGAAATGATTGTTTATTTTATAAATAAAAAACTTATGGAGTAAATTATAGGAATAAAAATTTTAATATATTTTATAAAAAATTTAATTTAGTATAAATATCTAAATCTTTTCTCGAAACTATTATCCTCATGTTCAATAAGGTATGGAGATAACAAGAATCTCAAAACCAACAGCATTAGAACGATGTTGTTTTTTACAAATCAAAGATCAGAGTACAAGCTGTTAAGCCGTGTATCCCGAACTCCAATTAAACCTTTACCTGGCACGTCTCTAATGCAAATTTTGCGATGTCTTGTATCTCTTTCGGATAACAATATAGTTAATCTAAAGATTTTTCTTCCTTGAAAAAAAAATAGGGGTGAATTGAAAATGACCGATAAAATATGAAATTTTTCTTCATTACTAAAATCATTTAAAGTTGAAAAATTTTTTTTATAGAAATAAAGATACCCTGAGCAAGCACTAGTCTTATTACTTTCTTTTTTTAGATTTTTCTCGAAACGAATGTTTTAACTTTAATTAAGTTATGGAGAAAGCCAGAATCGTAAAATAGGCCGCACTAGAACCATGTTGTTTTTTACAAATCTCAGACCAGCATACTAGTTGTTAGGCCATGTATACCGAACTTCAATTAAGCCTTTACCTGGCACGTCTCTAGCACACATTTTGCGATATCTGGACATTCCTCCAAATTTAAATTTATAATTTAAACAAAAAAAACTCTTGATTGTTACAAAAAGGGGAAGTCGTGTGCTTAATATAGTTTAATAAAAGTTTAAACTACATTTAAAGCAAAAACTGAACTTTTAGGGAAAAAACTAAGTATGCAAATAAATATTAGATCATAAAAAACACTTTAGTTATTTACAAATTATTTTTTAAAAAATATTCTCCGACAATGACCATCAGATAAAAAAATAATAACTTGTTCAATTAGAAATTAAGAATTCAAAAAAACTTAGCTTTTTTTAAGTAGCCTATAGTTCTTTAAACAATCACATTCTACATATTCATTCAAAAATGCTATTTTAGACTTGCACTACTTTTGCTGTAATTCAGACATTCGCTCGCCAGTTGTTGCTTTAAACGAAAAATAAAAATTTCAATGTATTAAATTTTTTAATTTAAATCTAAAAATTAAGAAATGATTGTTCATTTTATAAATAAAATACTTATGGAGAAAAATATAGGAATAAAAATTTTAATATATTTTATAAAAATTTAATTTAGTATAAATATCTAAAACTTTTCTCGAAACTATTATTCTCATGTTCAATAAGATATGGAGATAACAAGACTGAGTAAGCAAATAAATATTAGTTCATCAAAAACACTTAAGTTAACTTCAGCATGCAAATTTATGCTTAAAAAATATTCACCTATAATGATCATCAGTTAAAAAAAATAGTAACTTTTTCAATTTAAAATTAAGAATTCAATTAACCTTAGATTTTTTTCAGTAGCTTTTAATTCTTTAAACACCTACAAATATTTTTTAATTAAAAATTTAGAATTCATTTCAACTTCGCTATTTTTAAGTGATCTCATATGTCTGCAAACATCCAATTTCAAGATGTGTTCGCACCATATATGATGATTTTTCTGTACTCTTCCGTTTCGGTGGGCCCTAAAAATTCGTGAAACTAGGCTGACGTATTGAATAATCATTCATGCATAATGTATTGTGATAATAGGCTCTATTCCTAATTATGTAGTGTGTAAGTAAGACTTTGGTACAAGGCTCATAATATTCCAAATGCAGGTA